TCGTCTCATCCAGAAAGGTGATGAGCTGTCACCGTGAGGCACCAGAACCTGCAGCCTCTGCTCCGGCAGCTGGCCATCAAGAAAGGACCCCTGACTACTCAGGGCAAAGGCACCCCCCCCCAGAGTGGGGAGCCAAGTGCCTTTCCTTCTTGTTCCAATTTCACACTCCTCCTTTCCTTTCCATTTGTAGCTGAGCTCTGAATTCACCTAAGTTGTATAAACTTAGGATGTAACTCTACTATTTTTTTTTTTTTTTTTTTTTTACTACAGTAGTCCCTTGCTATTTCACAGTTTGACTCTCGCGGACTCACTGTTTCACGCGGGTCTTAAAAAATATTAATCTGAGTTATCGTGGATTTTTCTCTATATTGCGAGATTTTGCAGTACCGTACAGTATATGTGTGTTGTTAAAATTACGTAGGTTTATGAGTTTAGAAAATGGTTAAGAGCTTAAGAAGTGTTTTTAAAAGTGTGGGAAAGATTTGTAGGAGCGTGGGAAGGGTTTATGAAGCCTTAAAAATATATAAATACTAAAATAAATATAACGTCGCTACTTTGCTTACTTTCACTTATTGCGGGGGTGTCTAGAACATAACCTCCGGAATATGTGAGGGACCGCCGTACATTATTTTTTAATTTACAAGGCCTAATTCAAAATGTGATAAAAATATGGTAAATGCTTAAATTTTTTAAAAATATGAATACAATAAAGGACACATTGCCTCTAATCCCCTTCAAAATACTTCCCCTGGCTTCAAACACACTTATCCCATCATTCGCGCCGCTTTGCGAAGCATTACCTGGGAGGGTCTTTAGTTACACTGTGATGGCTGCTTCAGTGTCTTGCACTAATCCAAAACGTTTACCTTCTGTGGTCATTTTAACTCTGGGGAAGACTCAGACATCACACGGTGCCAAATTGGGTGAATAAGGCGCGTGAGGACAATGCCATGATTTTACGAGCCTGCTTTCCATTCGCTAGCACTTGGCAGGAACATTCACCACATTTTTGATCATATTCCATAAAGACACTCACAAAAGAGGAATCTCAGAACTGCTTCAGAAAGTGGCAAGAATAATGGGATGAGTGTGTTCGAGGCCAGGAGAGTATTTTGAGGGGAATTCTTGGTAATGTGTTTTTTATTGTAATAAAAAAAATTTAAACCCTGTACATGTTTATTGTACCATATATTAGCAAGCATTTTCTTTAAGGCATTACAAGTTCATAACAGTATCAGGCATCACTTAGTTTTCTATTTAAAGCAACCCTGACCTTAAGAAGAGTTTATTGCATTTTATTTTGCTCCGTCAGCTATGGCCATGTGTCCCTATGAAATCACTTCCACTCTTTGAGTCCATTTTATCTCAATGGCAAAATTGTATTTTATAACCTAAAGGCAAAAGGTTCCCTCTGTGTTTTCTCAGGGTTCTTCTTGCTCTATACATGTGTTTCTTTGTGCAGTGGAGCAAGAGAAATTAATTTGTGAAACACAAATCAGCCACAGAACAATATGTGTAGTGTGTAAGGCTCCTTACATAACTGTGATATGTAATTTTGGATAAATCATGGCTCACCCTTGGCCCAACTGATGCAGGAAGGAAATGAGAATGCGAAGGGACCCCAGACATGAGTGCTGTCCAGAATTAAGAGTTCTGCACAAGGCCAAACTACTATTAGGGCCATTATGTTTGCTATAATAACAATAAACCCATCATTGTTACTTACTCAAATCTGTTTCCTTTTTTCTCCAAGGAGATATTTGGAAGAAAAATATTTTTCAGAATCTCAAAACCTTAACCTTTCACTATTTTAGAGGTAGTGATTAGGAGGATAAAACCTAGTGTATTCTTTGAGTATGTGTTCTCTTACAGAGGGTCTAAAGCTATTTGATTTCTCTTTCTACCCATCCCCCAGGCTGAGCAGACCTCAGCCTCCTTGCAAGGGTAGTGGAGTGTGTGTCAAATCCCATTACATGCCCACTGGAAGAGGGTCTACTCAGGGCCAAAGGAGAGGAAGATATTTTTCTCCAGACTGTTTTTAATTCCTTTTTTCTTTTTTCTTTTTCTTTTTTTTTTTTTTAGGGAAGTGTCTACAGGGTGTGCAGAGTCTCACTACTAGACTGGAGTCATAATGATCCGTCTGTTTACAGCCTCCCAAGTGCTGAGATTAAAAGCATGTGCCACCACATCCAGTCTCAAAGGCAATCTCAGTGCTCCCCAGGGGTAGGGCTGGAACGGCAGGCCTGGGACTTGAACCCCTGGTCCCTGCGTCTGCTTGCAGGCAGTTTAATCCACTGAGCTATTTGGCTGGCCTTTTAATTTCAAAGTGTAAGGTAATGGTGCCACTTATTTTCTTCCCCAAATTTAATCCAAGTAATCAAACAGTTAAGTTATATATATATCAAAGGAAAAAAGCTAAGAGCTGAGGGATTAGGACAAAATTTTATGCAACTTGTGGAGAAAGACAATGCATAAATTTCTTGGTGGGCTTTGAGCTTCTGAGGATTTAGTGTTTTTCTCAAAAGAGGATTATGATTAAATTGCTGTATTATTGCTCTCTGTAATAATTTCATGAGTTCCTTTAGATCCTACTCTCCCCACCATCTATACTTAATTTTTCTGATCTAATTCTATATATAGCTGTATAAGGTATTTGCTAGTTAGGGCTAAATCACCCCCATTGAATTAGATTTAAATGCTTTGTTGTGTTATGACAGAAAAGAACTTGTAGCAATTATAAGTCATTCTCAGGTTCTGCCAGCCATCTGAGTTCCAACTATGAGAATAAATCCATTTAAAAATGCTGGTTATTATGTTAGTATGTCCTGTGGACAAAGGTCTGGTTCGTTCATTATGGAGACTTTAACAAGCAAATCATGCAACTCTTGTCTAGTGAATTTTAAAGCATAGAAATTTTCTTCTGCTCTGGTGGCAAGGCTGGGAGATGTTTGAAGTGACTCTATCACTCAGTGAAAATAACTTTTGTGGGGTATTGAAACATCCTAAAATTCCACAAATACGTTCAAGAACAGCACTTTATAGAACAAAAATAGATCACTCCTGGACCATGTGGCTGACATCGAGACAGGTGGACACCTTTGGAGGATAAAGAAAGTAGAAAGACATGGCTCCTAAATATAGGACACATATACGGGATCATCCACTCTTTGAGACAGAGGAAACAAGAAAAGTTACCATTGGGGGATAGAAGTCTGAGACTTGTAGAATTGGATCAGGCTTAGAAATGATTTTTTTCAACATTAGTTTTGTAGAATCAAAGCCAAGTGTTATTATTATTATTTATTTTTATGTATCTAGGACAGGGTCTACAGGGTCTCACTGTGTAGATTAGATTCATAGTCATCCTCCTGTTTTCAGCCTCCCAAGCACTGGGATGACAGACATGTGTCACCACACCCAGTCTTTAAAAATGGTTTTAATAGATAGTTATGTGGTCTAGTAAAATTGCTAAGGAAAGCAAATAAGTATTTGCAATTCTTGAATCAAAGAATTTCAATAACTTTTCTTACCAAATGAAATTCAGGTCATTTTTTATTGCATTGCTTGTCTTCCTCTCAACTTGTGTGTATTGCTCACAGTATGATATGAAACCTTCATTTTTATTTTGTTTTGTTTTTTTGTGGAACCAGGGATTGAACTCAGAATCCTGCACTTGCCAGGCAAGCACTTATTCTACTGAGCTATCTCCCCAGCCCATGAAGCCTTCATTTTTAAAAATGAAATTCATTTCAATACTTCATTTCAGATGTGCAAGAAGGGTTTGACAGAAAGATGCAACTAATATATTAAATTATTCTCCAGCAGATTTTCAAGTTCTCACACATTTCATGAGGTTCTGGTATGATAGAACAGTCGGCACTTAGGTTTGTCTTCAAGACTGGTTGATGATGCTCTGGCTAAAGTTAAATGAATCCCACAGAGGATTTGGACAGAGAATATTTCTTTGTAACTCTGATGGGATGATGACATTTTTAGTTTCATTATTTCACCCCAGGTTGGGATTTACTTATTACATCTTCAAATTATTTTAGCTACCCAAACCTTCAAGACCCACTCTCCCTGCACTAATGGTGGCACCATGGCTGAGCAGGTGACTAGGAACAGAGTGTATTGGACTTTGGAAATTCAAAGCTGGTTCCTCATAGGATTCTTCCTTCCTTTCTTTCTTTCTGTTGTATTTTTTAGGGAAGGGTCTACAGGGTGTTTATGGTCTCACTACTAGATTGGACTTGTAGTGATCTGCCTGTTTATAGCCTCCCAAGTGCTGGGATTACAGGCATGCGCCACCACATCCAGTCTCAGTTGCCATCTCAGTGCACCTTGGGGTCAGGGCTAACACAGCAGGCCCAGGGATCAAACCCCCAGTAGAAAATGATTGTGGGGGCTCCAGAGTGAGATAAAGATTGCACATAAAAAGATGGGGGTTATGAGCATCAAGCAGACATCTGGCCAAGAGGTAAATTAGATCAGTGTGAGAAAACATGAGGTAAGAAGATAGACTGAGGTGGTCTGGAAGCCACAGCTATGCCTGGATACCAGGGAGCCCATGTTATCCCTGTTGTGAGCTGCTCACTTCCTGGAACACGCATTTTCCCATTCATGATATGGGGTTTGGAAACCTCAGAGCACTCAAACTCAGCAGGAGAAATTGCCTATAAAATGATCCAATAAAAACTACTTGGTGTTTTTCCATCCATCTCAGGTCAACACAAAGACTCACACAATGACTTGGAAAGGGAGAGCCAGGGAAGGAGTACACCTGGTTTTCTCCTACCCCAGCCCTCTAAAGGAGCCTAGGGTTATTTACTATGCACAACACAGAGAAGCAGAGCATGCCTAGTGCCACTCTGTAGAGCAGCTTTTGGTCACCACACTACATTAAATGCTCTTACTTCCATTCCTACTGCCCGCCCCTCTCTCTTGTATCAAGTTCCATTGTGTAGTGGAGGGTGGGAGGCAGGTTTCTGCGGGGAACTCACCCTGGGGTCTCGCTCCAGCTGCTGCTTATGCTGCAGGCTGCGTCTTCTCTTAGCTTTTGCAAGGCCATTGTGATAGAAGTGGTAAAGGCCTTCTGTGAAGGGAAGCTGTGGAGACCAAAGAAACACAACGATGGTTAGCTTCTGGGTTGGCTCAGGGATGGAGACTTAGCTGGGCTGGCATGCAAGAACTGCTAGAGCTAAGGTGTATATGACAAAACCTTCGGCAAATCTCCAATGGGATTTTATCATCTGACAAAAAGTTACATTTCTTGTTATATAGGTCTTGCTTTATCTTGGTCTTAACCATCCAGCAGAAAATTATAAAAATGAGATATAAAAAATAAAGCCATATTAATATTCTGAGCAATAAAAGGCTCAAGTTAACAACTTCTGAAATTGCCAATCCTATGGATAACCCACTACTATTTTGGACTACTGGACTATATTGGAATATTTTGTTGAATTCACACACCTACAATATTTAAAAGGCAATGGAATACCCATCTCTGACAAAACTAAACAAAAAAAGAGGATACAAATGAAGGACCATTTTGTATCTGTATATACAAAATAGTTAAGATATACAGCTACTTTGTCTTAATTCAATGAGTAAAAAGATTTATACTAATAGTGTTTGGACAGGATATCATGTCTGCATCTTGTACTATGAAAATGACTACGAAGACAGCAACATACACTGCATTAATTATTGAAACTGTCCTACTAATCAGTTTTTAAACTGTTTCATTGCTATTTATTTCTACTTTGTATCTCCTTATTTACTGTAGAACATTCCATTATAGGAGCTGTCCTACAATTGATTTAGCATTTCCACTATTGATGTATATTCAAGTCTTATTTTCTTCCCTCCTTTCTTCCTTCCTTCTTTCTTTCCTTCCTTTCTTTTTTCTTTCTTGCCTTCTTTCCTTTCCCAGTTCCTTCCTCCTTTCTCTTTCTCTCCTTCCTTCCATCTTTTTTTATGTATTTGGTACAGGGTCTCACTATGCAGCTTGAACTCATAGTGATCCTCCTGTTAGCCTCCCTAGTGCTGGGATTACAGGTGTG